TCCTGTACGAATTCTTTTATGAGAAATGAGTTTACTTGATTGAGAAAAAGTTTTCCCACATTCCTTACATTCATAAGATTTCTCTCCTGTATGAATTCTTCTATGTTGAATGAGGTTATTTGACTGAGAAAACCTTTTCCCACATTCCTTACATTCATAATGTTTCTCTCCTGTATGAATTCTTTTATGTCGAGTGAGGCCATATGAGTAGGAAAACCTTTTCCCACATTCCTTACATTCATAAGGTTTCTCTCCCGAATGAATTCTTTTATGTCGACTGAGGCAACTTGAGCGGGAAAACCTTTTCCCACATTCCTTACATTCATAAAGTTTCTCTCCTGTGTCCATTCTACGATGTTCCATGAGGCGATGTGAGACTGAAGATGATTTCCCGTATTCCTGACATTCGTAACATTTCTCTCCTGTATGAATTCTTCTATGTTGAATGAGGTTATATGACTGGGAAAACCTTTTCCCACATTCCTTACATTCATAAGGTTTCTCCCCTGTATGAATTCTTTTATGTCGAGTGAGGCCATACGAGGAGGAAAACCTTTTCCCACATTCCTTACATTCATAACGTTTTTCTCCTGTATGAATTCCTTTATGTCGACTGAGGCCACTTGAGTGGGAAAACCTTTTCCAACATTCCTTACATTCATAAGGTTTCTCTCCTGTGTGCATTCTATGATGTTCCGAGAGGCAAAGTGAGACTGAAAATGTTTTCCTGTATTCCTGACATTCGTAACGTTTCTCTCCTGTATGAATTCTTCTATGTTGAATGAAGCAACTTGAGCGGGAAAACCTTTTCCTACATTCCTTACATTCACAAGGTTTCTCTCCTGTACAAATTCTTTTATGAGAAATGAGTTTACTTGATTGAGAAAATGTTTTCCCACATTGCTTACATTCATAAGTTTTCTCTCCTGTATGAATTCTTTTATGTCGAGTGAGGTCATACGAGCCGGAAAACCTTTTCCCACATTCCTGGCATTCATAAGGTTTCCCTGCTGTGTGCATTCTACGATGTTCCATGAGGTAACGTGAGACTGAAAATGTTTTCCCGCATTCCTGACATTCGTAAGGTTTCTCTTTTCTATGAATTTTTCTATGTCGAATGAGTTTACTTACTTGAGAAAATGTTTTCCCACATTCCTTACATTCATGAGATATCTTTCCTGGGTGAATACTCAGGTGTGGAGTGAAGTCAGGTGATGCGGCACAAGTTTTCCCACATTCCTTACACATGGGAGGTGTCTCTACTCCATGAAGTTTTCTATGAGATGTCTGGTGACTTGATTGGGAAACTGGTTTCTCACATTCCTTACACCGAGAATGTTTTCCTCTTGTGTAAGTTTTCCTATGTTCAGAGAGGTCATGTGACCGAGGAAAGGTTTCCCCACATTGATTAGGTTCAAAACTTATCTCTCCCGTGTGACTTCTTCCCTGCGCCGTGATCTGACTTGATGGTGAAAATGCTTTCACACATTCTTTACTTGCACCACGTTTCTCTGTGACATGCGTCCTTGAATATCTCCTTAGATGTAATAAAGAAAAACACACAATTAACACCCTTTTGACATAGATACAGCCTACGTACACTCTGAATTTTTCCATCTGCTCTGATCTCTCAATGTCCTAGTACAGGAATAATAATTTTCCCATTTTCTGAACAATCATAAAGCTGACCAAAAATGATAAATGTTTGTTGAAAAACTAAAGGAAATGTATTTATAGAAGTTCTTCATGTCTTTCTACATTCCCGATAGTCTACC